TCCCATTCCTTCCCATTCTAGTCGACACATGATGTTCTCGAGGGTGGCACTGAAGAGTTTCGGTGAAATGGCATCACCCTGCTGAACCCCTCTCTTGGCATCAATGATCACTTCTTTGTAGAATGGTGAAATCCTGGTAGTGAATCCGTAATACAGCTCATGGAGGATCCTAATGTATTGAGTTTGTACTCCCTGATTGGCTAGGGTTTCAATGACCACTTCCGTCTCAACAGAATCAAAAGCCTTCTTTAGATCAATGACTGTTAGACAGAGCAGCATGTTGAACTCCCGAGAATCCTCAATGAACTTGGTTAACATGTGGATATGGTCAATTGTGCTGAATCCTTTTCGGAATCTGGCTTGCTCGCATGGTTGTCCCTCATCTAGTGTTCTGCCAATCCTATTCAAGATCACTCGAGTGAACATCTTGTAGATTACAGACAATAGGCAGATTAGGCGATAGTTGCCAATGTTGTGGATGTCTCCCTTCTTGTACAGTAGTACAGTCCTGCTAATTTTCCATTGGGACAGAACCTTGCATTCAGACAGGTAGCATGTGAAGAGCCAAGCCAGTGTATTGATGAGTACTGATGGCAGGTTCTTCAGGTGTTCAGGTCTGACTTTGTCTGGGCCAGGTGCTGTTCGTTTCTTTAATGCTGAAATGGCATGTTGAATTTCGGAAGGGAAAATGTTGGGAATGACATATCCATCCTGCGGAATTTGGTATGTGGACAGGTGGACATGGCTATCGAAAAGATCTGAGTAGAAGTCATGGATAATATTCTCCATTGCCCTTCTGGAAGATGTGATAGATCCATCAGGATACCAGAGGGCAGTCATCTTGGTCTTGTAGTTGGCGAAGGACAGGTGGGAGTTATGGATGCTTTTCTCAGCTTCTGCTGCATCTACCAGCACTGCTGCTCTTCTCTTTTTGAGGTCTTCCTTTATCGCACATCTGTACTCCTTTGTGAGCTCGGACATTTGCTTGTGGTTGCCTGAAGCGTATGCCAAGTCACATTGGTGAATAAGCTCAAGAGTATTGGAAGACAGGCATATTTTTGTCTATCAGGCTATCTCTCTCTTGGCATTCATCACAAAATCATGGAGGTGCTGAACTAGTCAATCATATTCTTCATTAATGTTGTCAACGATGGCATCTTCCCATGTTACAGCAATAGTGCCAAAAAGCTGCCATTTGGCGGTTGTTCTGGGAGTTCTCTTCTTAAACTTTGCAGCCCTTTCTCCCTGCTCTGTAAAGTAGGATTTTGCATGAAAGAGATGGTGGTCAGATCCACTACCTCCACTACCCAGCCACTGCTATGCTCTAGGACACTTTCCGGATGCTTGGGCCGAGACTCACGCACAAGTGAAGCCCCACAGAACAAGATAAACGGAACTCTGAGACCTTGGACTCCAGGCTCAATGGACCCAGGGACAGGGATCCTCTGCCTGCTCCACCAACCACAGGTGACCAAGGGATTAAAACCAGGAGCCCCACCCTACTCTGCACTGTCTGCTTCCACCAACTGCCTGAGACCCAGGGATTGGATTATGCACAGAAGACCCACCCTACCTGTACCAGATAAATACCTCGCTGGCAAACCTCTACTACCTCCACTAGCCAGCCGCCGCCACGCTCCAGGACGCTTTCTGGACACATCATAAGACACTTAATACCCATTTTCCAGGATTGCCGCACCATATTTGATAGGGTTCAAATATATTTTGAACCATGGGAACACCTCCAAGGGTGATTAGAGGCCGCCCCAAAAGCCTCTATTACTCTCAAAGAGCTGGCAAGCTACTGAAAGTGTTCCACCCACAGCACTTCCAAGTATTTTGAATACTACATCTACTGAATATTGCTAGCTTAGGGAACTGACCAAGCTAAACTGCCTCTCTTAAAATGAACTCACTTTTTTTTTTATAAATTAATCATATTCAAAATAATAATAGAGAAATATTTGTCATATTATTGGCATGTAATAACAAAGTTAATTACATTTTCTGTTAATAGTGGTAATTTCTCCATGACCTAAAGATAAAACTTAGCCATTTTAGAGGAAACATGGAGCACTATATCTACATAGTAGGGACAGGGATATAATTTTTTGTTTGAATTCAGACATATTTAGATAAACTACTTTGAATTCCTGCCTAGATATGTTTAATAGTATTCCTAGTCATTTTGGAATCCCTTTCTCTGAAAAGTTTGAACCTTCTTTTCAGAAAGGAATGATAAGTAGAATCATTTCACCTCTTGCAATATCACTTTAAAATCAATAAATACTCTTATTGTACTATCCGGTCAGTTTAGGTGTTCTTAGAAAAAGGGCTCCTATTAAGTTCACCAACAAGCATTTGTCTCTATTTCATCGTGTCTTTTTTTCCTGGATTTTTATGAATATTATGTTCATTCCGTGGAATCCAATCAATGGATTCCACGGGATGTCAAGAGACCGCGTGGCCGCCCACCTACCAGACTTCTTCGTCAAGACCATGAACGTTCGGTTTGAGGCCCTTCATGTTCCCGGAGCGAACAGATACCATTGGGCTACACTAGCACGCGACAGGGACAAATGGAGACGTTACTGGCGCCCGCTCGAGCAAATCGACGACTAACGGGAAGTTAAGTGATTAAGTGATTTAAGTGATGTTCATTCAGGCCAAACCAATTCAAATCAAGAACCAAAAAGTGATATATTATATAATAATTTTTAATTAAACTGGGCAACGAAACAGGAGTCACCCGAACAATTCAAAACAATTTAACGAAACTATTTTTTAAAAAATTGAATTACAGTTTTTTACACACTGAGATACACAGTTACAAAGTTGTTCATGATTGAGTTTCAAGTCATTCAATGTTCCAACACCCATCTCTTCACTAGTGTACATTTCCCACCACCAGTGTTTCCACTTTCTCTTCAACTACCCTCTCCACATCCCTTTCTGGTGCCTCCGTGATAGACACTTCTCTCTGTCTCTCTGTCTTTCTCTCACACATTTTGGTTTGCAATACAGATACTGAGAGGTTATCACATATATCTTTTTACCCACTTTCAGTACTCAGTTGTAAAACACATTAAATTGGTATCATTCATAAAAATATTTCAATTGTATGACAAAATCAGGATCAATAGTGCTGCACTGTAGCACTGTCCTCCCATTTTTCATCAATTTGCTCGAGTGGGCACAAGTAATGTCTCCACTGTGAGACTTGTTGTTACTGTGTTTGGAATATCGAATACGTCACAGGTAGCTTGCCAGGATTGCTGTGCGGGTGAGATACTCTCGATAGCTTGCTGGGCTCTCCGAGAGGGAGACAGAGGAATCAAACTCGGGTCGGACATGTCAGCCCAAGGCAAACTCCCTACACGATGTACTATCACTCCAGCCCAGGAAAACAATAATAGAATAAAATTAGTCTATATAAAGATTATGACTGCATAAAATAAGTAAACAAAAATTGGAATGAAATAAGTAAATGAATACTAAATTTTAATAGAAAATTTTGACTGACAACAAAATTTAAATGCTTGTAGCACAAAAGATATAAAATGAAAAGGAATATATTTTTCCTTTAAGCTGAATTTTTAAAACACCTTACTCATGAAACAAAAATAAAGAAGAAACCTAAACAGAGAGAAAACTATATACTAAGTAAAGCAAAGACTGGAGAAAGTGTCACACCTGTGAGAATGGCATATATAATATATATATATATTATATGACAACAACTGGATATAAGTGTTTATGGGAGTAAGGTGAACAATTACTTTTCATTCAATGTTGGAGAGAAAGTCATGTGGCCCAGCCTCTATGAAAAACACTATGAAGATTTCTCAAAAATGCAAGAATGGAAACATGTGACCCTTCAGATGATTTGACTCATTTGACTCAGATATCCCACTTCTCGGTTTCTTTCCCCTAATAATAGCATTAATCTGAAAAATATATGCACACCTAGGTCCATTGTAGCTCCTACTACAATAGCCAGGATATGATTAGAAGTAACACAGAAGTAATACAGGAGCACAGGTGGAAGCAACCCAAATATAGAACAACAGATTAATAGATAAAGGAGTGTGGTATACAATATCACTATGCAAGCACAAAAAAAAAATTAAGTCACATACTTCATAATAGGCTGGAGCTATAGCACAGCGTGTAGGGCATTTGCCTTGCAAGTGGCCGACATGGCCGACCCAAGTTTGATTCCTCCACCCCTCTCGGAGAGCCCAGCAAGCTACCAAGAGTATCTCGCCTGCGCGGCAAAGCCTGGCAAGCTACCCGTGATGTATTCAATATGCCAAACACGGTAACAATTGTTGCAATGGAGACCTTACTGGGCCAGCTCAAGCAAATCAATGAACAACAGGAGAATAGTGACAGTGACTTCATAACAATATGGATGGAATTGGAGGGTAGTATGTTGAGCAAAATGAACCAGAGGCAGAAGGACAAATACAGAATAATCTCACCTATCCGTAAAACAAATTAAGGGTTTTATCAATAATAAAACTTGGGTACTATATTACCTGAGACCCGAGAGTTTCAGGTTGGGGTAGGGTAAGAGCAAAATAATTTTGATTAGAAGTAACAGAGAAGTAATCCAGGAGCACCGGTGGAAGATCTCAAGCACATGGGCTGTGGTCAGAAAGGTGAGTATGCACCCAAACCATAACTGTCAATCAAAGAAGGGAGATGGGGGAAAGAAAGGTTTGAACCAGGGGAAGCAAAGAGACAGGGGTGGAGGATAATGGGCACTTCAGTGGTGGTGATGGCATGCAGTAATTGTATATATTAATACAATAAAATAAACATGAATGTAACACAAACTATACTAGTAAAAATGTTGACTAAGAAGCAATAATTCAGAGAAGAAATAATGTTCATGTCTCATGTACAGAATTGAGCAAATCTTATATGAAGTTAAGGTTATATATTATATTCTTATATATAATATTATATGTATAAGGTTTTGCTTATAATGCTCATCATGGTGAAAATATTGTTCTATGAAGCAGATTTCCCAGCGCTCCTTTCATATCCCTGTTCCTCAGACTGTAGATAAAGGGGTTTAGCATGGGGGTGACCAGAGTGTACATTATGGTAACAATAACATCCTTGTCATTGGAATTATTGGCTGAGGGGAAAAAGTAGAGTCCAATAACTGACCCATAGTAGAGAGAAACTACAGTGAGGTGTGAACCACAGGTGGACAAGGCCTTGAAGATCCCCTTGGTGGAGGGGACCTTCAGGATAGTGGCCCCAATGCGACCATAAGAGACCAGGATGCATATGAACGGCACAGTAATACCTGCCATACCCACAGAGAAGATAGCCAGGTCATTGGCTGTGGTGTCTGAGCTGGACAGCTTAAGTAAGGCAGAGAGGTCACAGAAGAAGTGGGGGACAACGTTGTCTCCACAGAAAGAGAGCCGGATAAGAAGCAGGGTATGGGAAAGGGCTCCAGCACAGGATAGGGTCCAGGACACAGTAACCAGCATATAACATAGGCTCTGACTCATGATGGTGATGTAGTGGAGGGGATGACAGATGGCCACATACCTGTCATAGGCCATGGAGGTGAGAAGGAGGCTGTCCAAACACCCAAAATATAAGAAGAAATACACTTGAGTTACGCACCCAGCATAGGAAATGGATTGGCTCTGTGTCTGCATATTAAAGAGCATCTTTGGGGCCGTCACTGAAGAGAAAGAGTCGTCAGTGAGAGCCAGGTGACTGAGGAAGAAATACATGGGGGTGTGGAGGCGGGAGTCCAGCCTGATGAGCAGGATGATGAGCAGGTTCCCCAGCACAGTGGTCAAGTACATGATCAGGAAAAGGGCATAATATTGGCTCTGTTTCTCTGTCCAGCTGGGGAGCCCCAAGAGGATGAACTCAGACGCACAGCTCTGATTGTCCATTTCATGGTCTTCTCATTTTCTGGAAAGAAAAACAGAGATGACTATATGGAAGAATAATAACTAGTCAAATAACAGGTCATGCTTTTAGACGTGCTTATGGAAGTCCTGTCCATGAGTTCCAACCATAATAGCTCCTTTTTTTGTGCCCACAATGGGTAACTTATCATCTGTCATTCAAGATCTTACATGACCATTCAGAATTAACACAATCTCTTTTGCAGAAACCATGAAATATCAAAATAGATATCACATGGGATCAGGTGCGAACACAAGAAGTCTCAGAGCTTCTTACCAGAATCTGAAATTAGGAAATGAAATGGCAGAGATATGTCAATTAGCTATTCAAATTAGCTATTCAAATTGTTCCATTTGCCTTTTATAAATGCTTTTGCTAATGATTTATTTCCAGGGCTCTGACTGACATAAGACAACCCAAAGAACTACTATGGATTACCCATAAATCAGTAATTGAAGCCTTAGTGGAAGCATTCTGTGTAACTGCTTTAGAAAAAAAATAGTAGAAACAAAAATTTATGTTAATAACATAATGCAGTTAAACAGATATTTCCACTAGTCTTTCCTTTAAGTTAATTATTTCCCTCTCCTAAACATTTTTAGACCACCACTATTCTTTATTTTTTATTAACTATTTAAAATTTTTTTCCTTTAAATTTTGTTTTTTTATTATAGTAACTTTTGTAACATGTTTACAATAGTATTAGAATTTCTGGTTCTTATGTAAAATATATGCATCATACCATAACCAAAATGCACACACCAAAAATGTTCTTCCTTTAATTCTAGTTTATCTCATCATTCCTTCCCACCTCAATAATTCTCCTATTTAGAAATCTCCATTGTCTAATCCAAGACCCAGTGTTTGTTCAATAATTTTTTCTTATTTTTGATAATATACCACAGATGAGTCATGTAATTCAGTGACTGTCGTTCTCTCTATGAGATATTTTAACATAATATCCTCCAGTTGGATCCAAGTTGCAGCAAGCTTCAAGATTAAATCTTTTCCTACAACTGTATAATATTCCTTTTGACCATCATTCTTCCTAAATAATTTTTTTTATGAAGTGTGATTAAAAATTCGTGATCGTGCCGTGTAACTCCAACAACGGCCAGGATCCAGAGATCATCACACTCAGCTCCTGGAAGCGCGGCCGCATTCACGGCCGCACGACATCTTATCATCTCATTCCTAATTCGGTCAAACTGGCAGGCTACCAAATGTAACATGCCCACACGGCAGAGTCTGGCAAACTCCCCGTGGTATACCCAATATGCCAAATACCAGTAACAATGATGGGTCTCATTCTCCTAACCCTGAAAAAGCCTTGAATATGGCACTTTAAAAAAAAAAAATCTCAGGGCTAGGACGAAGAAGACGTTACTGGCACCTGCTCGAGGCAATCGACGAACAACAGGGTGGTCGTGATCGTGATCGTGATTAAAAATAATTTGCTTTTATTATTTTTTGCCAAAAAATTTTTTAATTTTAACCTAGTCACATCTTGGAAGTGTCCAGAATAAGTTCTTTGCATCTATCTTTCACGAAATAGAGCCTCATTTTTTTCATAGTGCCAACGCTATTTTTTATACCAGTGATTCCTAGTATTTTCTTTTAATATTCTGTCATACTTGTTATTGTTATCATCTCTTTCTCTTAAAATAGATTTACGTTTCTCCATGTGAACATGAAAAAAATAATTAGGAAAGAAATGAAAATGTCGCCCCTATAGTAATAATCATCAATTTGGGGGTTTAACAGTAATTCTTTTGATTTGAATAAAATATCAGTTTCTAAATTATTCAGTTCACTGAGTAAAAAAATCATATTCAGTGTTGCTAGTCATTACCATGAATCAGATCCTTACAACTAAGAGACTAACTGACGGATATTTAGGTTTTTATAATTCTTCCCTTTCCAGCAAAAGTTTATTAATAATATTGTTTATATCACATTATCACTATTGCATATATCCCAATAGGATAAATTCTTTGAAATAACATTGGAAGATATACATTCAAAATTTTGAATTATTTTGAATTATTGAATTAATATCTTTTTAAAATACAAAATTTTGAGTTTTTTATTATTAAAATAAACAAGCTAAGTTGATAAAGAAGCCACAAATTTCACTTAGCATAATTGATACTCTCCATTGTATCATGGAGACACATGGATGGACCATGTATAAGCAAATTTCATGATTTACTATGAGAAGTTTTAATCTTATTCTCAGACCAATAAAACATCCACAGAAAGGTTTAAGTCAATTTGTGAATAACCAGTTTTAAATTCTGCGTTGGTTACTTTGTATGAAACACTATAACAAAGCAGGGATGTTAGCAAGAATCATGCTAAGTGGATGTTGTTGTAGTAGTTTAGGTATAAACAGTCATGTGAGCTATGGATGTAGAGATGAAGGTAATTACAACTTTGGAATAAAATATGAGGAAAAAACAAACAAAACACGGAGCCTGAGAGACGAAAGACAAAAGAATATCTCCTATTTTTTCCAAAGGCTTAACCAAAATACATCATTTCGCGTGATAGTGTGTTATTCTTTGTATGACAAATAGCTATGCTAGGACACAATAGCACACACAGGACATACACACACACACACACACACACACACACAAACTCACACATTAAACACATTCACCCACGAAACCTCACTGCTGAAGGGTTTCCTTTTCTTTCACTGCCTCTTAAGTGATGAACACATAATACCTTCAGCTACTGGACATGCCAGCTCCTTCCATTTTTCTCTAGAAGACACAGAATACAACACAGCAGATGAAGCCTCTAGGAGTTTCAAAGATGCATTGCACTAGGGAGAAGAATTTTCAGTTCAAACTTAAGAAAGATAAATATATCAATGTACACTGGCTTACAACTCTTGGATGATCAGTCTGGGTACTAACTTCACAATCATGGAGAGGACCCTGGGGGACAACTCCCCACTCTGATTCCAAATTAGTCACAGAGATGGGAAATTGTTACTTCCCTTTAGTTTCCTTGGAGAAGAACTGTTTGTTGATACCAGGCAATAGAGAATTCATCCTTGGAGGAAACATGATTTAACCAAAAGCTCCTACTAGGAAGTTTGTGTTTCACTAAATATTACTGTTGCGGAGTAAATTATTTTAGGAGGTTTTCAAGGATTTCTGAGTTTGTCATTTCTACTCATTAATTTTTTGGAACCATCTATTTTGGACATTAGGTTGAAGTGTTTCATTTTAGCTTTATTTTTGGTTAATCTTTCGGGGTGAATCTCTGTTCCCCTGAAATTGCTTCAGTTGTCCAAACAAGCACTTCAGTTATCTAAACAAATCAAGAACATCATAAAGAATGTGCCTTTTTTTTTCCGTGCATACCATGCATGTCAAGGAACACTATGACAGTTACTGAGAATTGTTTTTTATGCCTTTGCTGAGATAAATTCTAAAAAGAGTTGGGTGGCTAGAGTAATAGTACAGCAGGTAGCATGCTTGTCTCGCAATCTCCAGCACCCCATGTGATCCTCTGAGCACCTTCAGGAGTAACCCCTGAGAACTTCTGTGTGTGATCCCCTAAACAAGAAAAAAAAGATGAAAAAAAAGAAAAAGTCTTTATATTTTCCAGTGAAGGGCAAAATACTTGCACATGTAATAGTGATATATTACATGCAAACAGTTACATATAATTCATGTAGTAGTAATAATTAAGTTAAATGGGAGAAGTAACAATTTATAAGAATTTGAAATTCTATAATTAATTTTATTTAAAAAAAATTATCTCCCAAGTTCCCAAGTAGTGCTCAGTGGGCACTATGGGCTTTTGTTAGTGTATTGTAGGGTCAATAATTTGGTGTTACTCAAGCACTGAGGGATTAGACACAAACTAGACTACTATGATGTTTCTTTGGGTTTTCAGAGCTACCACCCAGAGATGTTTTGCAGGCCATGTTGTACATTGGGTTCAAACCAAATAACTACTGTTTATTTCCTTGCCTTTCAAGTTCTGAGATCCAGTATTTTATCTCCAAGTGTTTCTGATTCTCACTACTCATTGTTACCAAGTTTTTAGAAAAATTGAAATATGAAAGTTTTACAGAGTTTTCAGACATTTTATTTTTTATATATTCATTGTCAGGGTAGGTATATGTTAGGATCCTTATTCTGTTACTCCTGATAACATGTAAGTATAATGGCTAGCTTTAAGTCCAAAATAGAAGAAGTTTCAGGAGAATTTATAAGTTGAGTTGGATCAAGAATGAATTTGTATAGACACAAACTAGACTACCCTGTGTAATAATAATAAGTGTAAAATTCGGGGAAAACAGTTTACATTGACTATCTTCACTCTCTGCTTTCTCTGACTCCTTTTCCCAGATGGAAGTTTCTTCTCTTTTACCTTTTCTTTTAAAAATCTTTTTGGGACAGAGACAAGAATTCACCAGAATATATATATATGTATATATATACACATATATTATATTTGCGTGTATATATACACATATATAATATATATGTATAATATTTATTTGAGTGTATATACCCTTATTTTCTTGAAGTACACAAACAATAATATTTGTTCTTAGATATTGCAAAAGAAAAAGATGTAGTTTGTATACCACTTAATGAAATTGTCTCTGGAGCTTTTCTATATTTGAATTTCTCTATCCTTTTCATTCACTATTTTGTGATAGAAGATTGGACAAACAAGTCTACTTGTAAATGGCCAATTATAGATTAATACCCATCACTCTAGAAGATTTAAAAAACTTTAACCAAAGATTTGCCTTGATTACTAGAATTGGTTTTCTAACATCAGAAGTAAAACTACAATAACAATTGTAGAAAGGAACTTGAGGAGGAACGAAGTACATTACTGGCTGTATTCACAATGTAAAATCTGTCACATGAGAGCCAGAGGCATATGCTTTAGAGATTTGAGAAGTGCCTCAAAGGTGTTTTTATTTCAGTCATCTAAAATGATT